CCCCCAAAACCCCAAAACCCCAAAACCCCAATTTTAGCTTATTTAATTGACAACTAATATTTAAGAATAAATATTTTAGCTTAAAAAAATGACCTACGCACATAACTCAAATCATACAGATAATAAAAAATACTGAGCAGGATGCTCTTGGTTCATGTCACTAGAAGGTTCTAAAGTAAGCCAATTCCCACCGAGATTTGCTAGTTCATCACGGGTATTTCCAGCTTCCTCACTAGTCTTTGGTAGGGGAGAATCTAGAGCAAACATTCCTCAAAAAGTTCAGGGTCCATTTTGATTCAAAACAATATGAAATATTGATATTACTGCAGAACAAGAGAGAGTTGCTAAGGATGCTAATGAAAGCCTGATGATTAAGCAAGAAATGATATCTGAACAATGAGGATCCAGCATGAAGAAAGTTTTTGAATGACCAATTTGATACGAAGTAATGGATCCTGACAGAGCAATTTCAAGTTCTTGCTGTGGACAAACATGGTGCTTTCAATGTATTTTGAGAATATTGGAAACCTCATTCATATGACCTAACTGCAAGAAGAATATAAAACATCAATTTCTTAGTAGAAATAGAACTTTGCAAAGTATGTACGACATAATCAAGGGTTTACCAAAAGTAAAAGGAATATGCAAAATTCATTCCAAAAAATGCCTAGAATACTGAAAAGAATGTAGCGAAACAGTCTGCATTACCTGAGCAGCTACAAGTCATTCTGGACATACGATAATAGAGGTTCTAACAGAATACACCAACATAGTTACTGAATTTGGTCAAACAAAGGAATTATCTAAAAGCATTATAGAAAAGAACTTCATAATCAAAGAAATGATTCGATATTCTACTGAAAAGTCTGTAGAAATATATGACTGAATCCATGAAGCGATCAATGACTCCCTTAATCAAGCAAGGCAGGAGTTTGATTCTAACTATATTTCAGTAATGAAGGATTGTATTGGAGAGATACATAGGCATCAGAAAGATATAACAAAATTAGTGAAAGATGGAAGTAAAATTATTAAAGAGCAGGAAGAAACTAATATTTGCAACCTTCTGAGTATCAGAGAAATAATGATGAAATCTAATAGACAAGTTGATGCAAGCAACGCAGCTTACTTCAAGTTCATTGAGGAACATCCTGAATTACAGGCTAAGAAGCATACTTTTAAAGTAGAAATTACTGATAAGTTTTATCAAATATTCTTTAGCCTAGAATCAGATGATATGGTCTGTGAACTGAAGCTTCCCTCAGATTTGGCTACTGCAGAGATTTTGATACAAAGCTGGGAGTCACTTAATGATCAAGACTCATCATATTTGGTAATATGCAAGAAGGAAGGATTATTTAAGTCACCTATTACTCAAAAAGTGCTTTGTATTTCAAAGAACGGAGACTGGACTAAAATAGACTGCTCATATATGCAGAGTTCTTTTAAGTTTTATATTACCTGCTACAAGATAACTCCAGCATTAGCACAGTTAATTAAGACCTCATTTAATTCACTGAAGGAAAAGGTACAAAATGAGTTAGAGAAATTCCAAGAATTAGTAAATAACTTGTAATCCAATTTGTTTAACAACTTACGGGGTTTTGGGGTTTTGGGGTTTTGGGG